ATATATATATATATATATATATATATATATATATATATATATATATATATATATATATATATATATATATATATATTAAATAGTCTCGACCCGTCAAAATTTTTTATTATTAATATTGATTAGGTTGTTTTGACTCGTCGAACATGTTTATTTTTCTTACATATTTTCGTAGAGTAGACTTATATTTAATGGTCCAAAAAGTAAATAGAATAAGTCTTCTTGATTTTAAAATATAATGATAAGTCTGAATAAGTATAAAGAATAAGTCTATTTTATTTTAAAATGAGTCTTTTTATTTAAAATATAATAAACATATATATTGGTGTGACAGATTCCATCACTAACTATTAAATATGCAATACTCAATAAATTACTTAAAATATTTAATATATTTGTGTTCGTACGGGTCGCACAAAATGGATAGATTACCTTCATTGTTATTGTGAACTTCACTCTCCCAAAAGATATAGAATACAATAAACTCTTATAAAAAGGTGCGACTTCAATCGAATATATTTGAATTACAATTCCTAGCAACAAATTCATCTAATACATTTTAATTTTGTCTTGTAGTAGAAATAAGTAGTACTTAAAGAAGCAATGATGACCACAATAACATTATTTGTGGGATTTGTTTTTGGCTTATTTATAGGACTATCATTAAAAAAAGGTGTCTGTTATTTTTTAAACTTTTAGCATATGTTTCATGGCATTTTAAGTGGTTAATTAAATTAACAATGTGAATTTGCTAGATGAATGTATCATTAAGCTTTATAACATCCATTAATCTCACATATGTTCATGACCAAATTTCTATCATAAATTCCAATAAGCATAAAAAACTCAATGACAGCACAAAGGTATGATTATGCACTTGTTTTTTTGTTATATCAAAATCTTATCGGCAACACAAATTCTAACACACTTAATAGAAATGATTCCGCAACGACGCCGTTCGAAATGATTCTTGATGATGTCTTCATTTTGGAAGTTAATGACTTAAGTGAGAAGAGCAGACCAAACATTAACTTATGATCTTGTTGAGTATTCAACACTAATCTCAAAACCACCAAAGAATTGTATTCTTGATACTTACTAACAATAAACCAAAATCCAAAATCAAAAAACCAAAAATCAAGTGTAAGATTGCAGGTTTGAACTTAACCGTTGTACATTTTATTTGTTTTTAATCAAAAGTTTAAAAATTGCATTTTTTATTATTTTATTGTTTATTTTCTTTTTATTTAATATGTATTTAAAAATTATTATTTTTTTCTTTTTATTTGTTTTATTAAAAAAATAGTCAAAATATATAAAAAATATTCCCAAAATTTGTTGTAATGAGTCATATAATTTTTTGATTGGTCGATTGTATCACCTCTTGTTTCTGATTGGCTGTGCTTTGTCATAGTTGATTATTTTTCCTTTTTAGTTGACCTAATCAACTATTTATCTATTAAAATAAACTACAACCAAACTATTAATAATTCTCTTTACTTTGAAAAAATTTACACTTACAAAAGGTTAAAATAATAAAAATTTAATCTCTCAATTAATTCACTCTATTTCAACTAAATGCTACCAAGTGTCAAGTTCTATTCAATATTTTTTTCAACTTCATTTTTTCCTTTACTTCTCACCCTTTAACTTACCATCTCATTCTTCTTTCAAATTAAATTTATTTTTATTTTATATTTCTTTCTCTTTTCTTTTCATTATTTTATCTTTTCTACTTAATTGTTTTATTTTCTCTTAATTATCTTAAATTTTTTAAAATGTATAATTACAATATACTTTTTATTTATGACAAATTTAATTAAGTAATCTATATTAAATTTTAATAAAATAAAATTTATTTATTTGCAAATATCAAATATTCTTTTTTTCTCACGGTCACTATCGTCAAAATACTTATTTTATTTTAATTGACAATTGCTTTTGTTTGAGACACAAATTTCTTATTTTCAAATATCAAATTTTCTTTTTTTCACGGGACACTATCAGTAAAATATATATTTTATTTTAATTCACAATTGTCTTTAGTTGATACACAAAATTCTTATTTTTCAAATATTAAAATTTCTCTTTTTGCTTGAGCCACTATCAGCAAAATATATATTTTATTTTAATTAACAGTTGCATTTATTTGAGACACAAATTTCTTATTTTCAAATATCAAATTTTTTTTCCTTTCTCCGTTTTACAAACATTTTTTGTGTATAATTATTAAATACAATTGAATTTATATTATCATTATCCATTTTATAAGTAAATAACTTATTTTAAATTTACTTGTATATCTAAACAAAATCTATATTGTATTAAATAAATTTACCCGTGAGGACGCACGGGTATTTTGCTAGTTTTTCATATAAATAGAGTCATATTTTCTCACAAAATTATCGACAATTGTATATAACACCTTGTATACACTAACATTTAGTGTACAAAATCGTGTACATAGAAACACTCAATTACACCACAAAAGGACAAAAACACTCAATTACTTTAGTTTGTTTTAAAATCACATGATGATTCTCTAATGGTTTTTTTTCTTCAAAATTTATTCATTATATTTTTATAAAAATTATCATTTAGTTCATGATTCTTATTGCTAATATATCTATCATATAAGAAAATAAGGTATTTATTAAAACCTTTAATTACCCTTATTAGTCCATAATTTTCCAAGTGGATAGGTTAAGCATTAGGCACTCTATTTTGTTGTGCAATCAGATTTCCAAAACTCAAAAATAAACTTATTTCAACGCACTGTTGCTGAAAAATGGTTTCTCTTCCATCTTTGTAAAGCGTCCCTCACTCATTAATCCACGATCCTATCCTTTTCTCATGCCTCGAATATATTCACTCTTTGTTCTTCCATTCCTTCTAAAATGTTACAACTTCCAATGCTTAAACATTATAAATAAACCTAAATACTATTTCCTCTCTGTATCTTCATTAACCTCTTTGCATAAACATCTATTTTTTCTTCATGGCCAGGCCTTTGGAGAGAATCTACGACATGAACGACAACAAGGAGCTACGGAAGGTGGCTGTTAAGGTGCACCATAAATGGACAGTTATTTCCAACAAAAGGAGTACTTGGAGATGATATTCATAGACAAAGACGTAATTTTCGTAACTCATTGTGCTTCGTTTATTTGATTTCTGATTTCAGATTCTTTATGTTATATGAAGTTGTATGTTATAGGGTGTTTGATAACTGTTTTGTCTATGAAACCTTCATGTAATGGTATTACAATGAGTTTGGTTTTTGTTATTTTTATTTTTCATATGCATTTGACTTTTTTGTGCATCACAGAGCGCTGATATATGTGTTGTTGTGTTAACAACCCATATGGCCGCTTTCTATAACAAATTAGCCTTGGACCAACTTACATAGTGTCTAACTTCAAAGTTTAACCTAATGTGTTGAACTTTAAACCTTCGTCACACAAGTTTATGGTGAAGTTTATCGGAGAAAAATTCGGTAGTGATGATAATAAACACGAAATCTCATCCAAAGCACTAAACTTTACAAGTTTTTCTGATATCATCACCGGCAGATTTAACGAAGATGTGATGTTAGGTAAGAAATAGTTGTTCATATATTGTTCATGTTTTACTTACACCTTTATGTCTGATGTGTTATTTTACGCTTAAATCCCTTTTATCTTTTTTCCATACATCATTTGATTGGTTGATAGTATTGGATTTTCACACACAGTCTGGGGCGAAAAAACAACAAGTTAATTTAGTACTAAGGGACCACATGTTTGTATATTTACTCTCAACAACACTCTGATTTGAATGTATACTGACTTCAGGTTTTATAACATTATCATGTATTCTTTGTTTAAAAACAACACTATAAAATGCACTCTTTGGGAGGCGTATGCCGACCAATTCATCAAGTTCAACCAGGATCAGGTCAATGTGTCTGGTCTAACTGTGGTTTTGCTTCAGTACATAAAATTCAAGAAAGAGGGTTAGTTAGTTAGTTTATGTTGCTATTAATAGTGTGATACTTTTAATTACTCAAACTTATTTCTTACTTAGGGAAGTTTCCACTGTCAGTCACAGACACTTACAATGTTACCATGCTCTACCTCGATGCTAGTTTTCTTCCAATCAAAGAGTTTATAGACAGGTACATTCTATGTGATATGTATTGGATACATTTCTCTGGTAGATTCGTGATTATGTTATGTAGACGTTTTTTAATTGAATTATTTGTTCAACATCCCTAAAGACTATTTGGTTAGTGTATCTGGACAACTAAGCTCTAATTCTCAGCTTTCCTCACAAGGATCTAAAAATAATCAACAAACTCATGTTCAAAAGTTTCTTTCTAAGGCTATTGTTATGCCTCTTGCAGAGATTGCTAAACTTAGTGACGTATGTAGCACTTTTCCTATAACTTTTACTTCTTATTTAATTGTATTGGCCATGCCTTTTACATCATTTACTATTTATGTTATGTACCATTAATACAGATCACACTTTGTGCTACTTTGCCGAAACCAAAATTTTAACAGCATCTCAATTTGGCTGGTATTATCGTACCTGCCATCTATGTCACAGGGTTGAACACGGTGGCAAACCTCTATTTCAGTGTGAAGTTGGTCATTCTACCGAGGCAGAGATTTTTAGGTATGATTGTTTATGGTCTAATATATGACTTGTCACTGAAAAGTATAATCTTATATTTATGAAATCCTATTTCTTATGACCATTATTCCCCATATCGTAGGTATAAGATAGAAATTAAAGTTTTCCACTAAGGGAAAACTTGTAACTTTGTTTTCTGGGACATAGAATGTTTATAACTTTTGGGTTCACCTGCTGCTCAAATGCGTGATACCATGATTCAGGTTTATTATTTATTTGAACATCAACATATCAACACTATTTACACACCCTAATACTAATGGTGTTGTTTCCTTCTATACACTGGAATTCATGATCCCTTAGAATTTCCATTGGCACTCGATGCAATGTTGAATTTGGAGATGGCTTTTAAAGTTAAGTGGCAGCCGCATTGGAAACTTTACTCAGTTGTCATGATCCTAAGAGATGACTCGTTCATCAAACAATTTAAGGCTCCATGGGAAACAACCCAGGTGTAATTCATTAGTACGACTTTAGCATTTTTATTATTTCTTAATTTCCTTTTACGACGTTTATGCTAATCCCACTTTGATCACAATAAAAATGCAATAGGAAATGTCGCGTCTATAACATCGGAGGGGTATTTTCTTCACTACACTATTTTCTTTTTCTTTTAGTTTAATTCGGTTGTTTTGTGTTGACATATGTTGCACATTGCATATTTTTTTAATTATGTTTAGACTAAAGAGAGTGTTGATGAGGAGAAAAATGATGCCCCTAAATAATGTGATTTGGCTATGGTAACCTTCAATGCCCTCAAAATGTGTGAATTTAATGAGTTACCTAAATAATATATATATATATATATATATATATATATATATATATATATATATATATATATATATATATATATTGTTGCATGTATTGCTAAACTTGATTGTAATCGATTATGTGACAGGATCTTGAGATTACATCTAATCATAACCCTGATCCAATAACAACCACTACTAAAAGATAGGTTCTAGATGGATTAAGTGAATCAACAACCTTTGAAGGCTTGTCTGAAGGAGAACTCTCATCAACCAAGCTTAAGAAGATTATCAAAATGGAGAAGAAGGACTAGTTTTAGCTATACTTTGTGTCTTTGTCTTGAAATGTAATCTTTTTTTTCGTCATTGCATTTTACTTTTATTTTACTATAACTACTTTATAATTTGTGGTTCAAGTTTATCAATATGCACTCTTTATTTGTAATGGATTATATTTTTAAAGAATTATGTTACTTTAACATTCACATCATTTGTTATACCTACATCACTATTACCAAATATTTATGTATCACATTGGTCCATGTATCTATTCTTTTAAATCTTTATGTATCTTATTTGTCCATGTATTATTCTTGCATGGTTGGATAATACGAAATAAGATAAATTACAATTGTTGTTTGGCCAATGTGTGTTTCACAGCTTTGTATGTATTGACGTTGACTATAATGTTATCGATTGAATCTTATATGGGATTCTCCACTAATGGCTAATCTATCAACCTAACAGTTGACGAATAGTTTCTATTATAATCCAACTAATCCATGAAAAAGTGTATAAAATTGTTGGAAATTGTTATTGTGTTCTTTAGTTTAGAATACAAAGTCATCTTATTATAATTTTATAATGATCATGTGGACACATTTTCATTTAAACATCACCTATTTGTAATTGTTTTTACACTATATATAATATAAAGCCAATATAAAACATAATGGTCACAAGATCCCACATCATAACTTATCTCATAATGGAATTTGTGTATTGTATAATGATGTGTTACTTTTAAATGCTTCACTTCACCAATCATGCAAATACCACATTCATTGATACAGTTAAGAAGTTTTAAAACTTCACTGACCCCTTGAGTTCATGTGTTCCAAATAGTAATTTCAATAACTTTTGCAAGGTTACCCTTCACCGGTTTAGAGGAAACCCCAAGACCCAAAGTTATTGACAAGGCCTTACATTTGAAGAGTTCTGACATTGTAGCTAATTGGGAGACAAGAAGTGGGGTCAAAGGATTTTTAGCTAAATTCCTAATGGAGAAGGCTTGACTATTTTGGGATGTTATGGATTTACAAGCTTTTGAGGAGATCTTGGCTCTTCTAATCTATGGGTTGGTGCTTTTTCCTAACCCTGACCAACTCATAGATGTGAATGCTGTCAAAATTTTTCTTACTCGTAACCTTGTGCCTACATTGCTTGGAGACGTTTTTCACTCTCTTCATACTCTCACTATGAGTAAGTGGGGGACTCTTATGTGTTGCTTTCCTTTGTTGTCTGGATGGATTATTTTGCACCTTCCCCGATCAGTATTGAAGAATGAGCAAGGTTTGAGGTTGTCACAAAGGTTAATGTCGCTTTCTCATACAGATGTCCATTAGTGCTCTCGATCTCAAGAGGACATTACTATCATTTACCGTTGTGGGGAGTTCCTTAATGTTCCACTCTTAGGCATTAGGGGAGGTATTACTTATAACCCTTCTCTGGATCTACGACAATTTGGCTATGCTCGAAGAGATGGTCCCTACGACGTACTCATTCAAGGTATTATGTTCGACTACGAGAACAATGTCCAAGGTTATCATCGAAGGTTTGTACATGCTTGGGCCATGGTAAGAAAGGTTGATAGCAAGAATTTAGGGCATAAGAATTCCATCCCTCTTGATCCTTATCTCAAATGGGTATGAGCTCGTTCTTAAAGTCTCATGATGCCATATATAACCATCCTACCAATAGTTGTGGAGACTGTTATTGAGGGGGTGTTCCTTATACCATTATCCACCTTGATATGCCTATTGACCTTGAAGAGTTGAAAAAGTCTTGGATTCAACTGAAGGAAGAACGAGACATCTTTGAGACCCAATTCTATGCAAGTGAGAAGAAAGTGTTGGACTTACAAGACAACTTCAAGAGGAGCAGAGTATTAATGCATACATCAGTACAAAGAGGAAGCATCCTTGGGAGATTTGTTCCTAGATTTTAGGAGTTCATTTTATCTTTGAAAGCTTTTGTAAGCCTAAAAGGAAGTTGTAATTTGAACTTTGCTAATAAAAATTTTGTTTCTTGTTTCCTCCTGGTTAGAAAATTTAAATTTCCTAAGGTCCTTGAAATCACTGCATTTACATATCATGCATCATTTCATAATAGGTTTTTCGTACAAGTTTCTCATTTTATCGCTGTTTATTTCAACAGAAAAATGGCCCTCGAGCAAACTATAAAGGATCTCCAGGCTCAACACGCCCAGTTCCAGGAAACTCTCATGAATCTGGCCCAAGGGAAAAAAGAGTTGTTGGCACTAGTCGCCAAGAAAAAGAAGACCAAGAAGCAATATGTTGTCCTTAACATGGGGAGGAGGTTCAAGGGTCCTGCTCAACTAGTCTATGTAGAAGATGAATACTCTTAAGAAGATGACCACCATGATAAAGATGGCAAGGACAAACAGGATTATGAGAATACTCTTGAAGACGAAGACTTTTATGATGAATATTATCCTCCTGCGGATGACAGATATAAGCAGTTATAGGATAAACTCAAGGCAATGGAAGTCCAGAAGGTGCCTGGACTGGATTTTGGTGAATTAAGTCTAGTTCCAGGGGTGGTAATTCCACTTAAGTTCAAGGTCTCTGGTTTTTCTATGTACAATGGGGTCTCTTGTCCTAAGCTCCATTTGAGGTCATACGTTCGGAAGATATAACCTCACACTGCTGACCGGAAGTTATGGGTCCATTTCTTCCAAGAAAGTTTGGATGGAGCCCAACTGGAATGGTTCTATCAGCTGGAAGGAACCAATATCCATACATGGGGGAACCTGGTTGTTGCTTTCTACAAGCAGTGCCAATACAACACTGACCTGGAACCCACTCGAGTACAAATGCAGAATATGTCCATGGGATCTAATGAGGGGTTCAAGGAATATGCTCAGAAATGGAGGGACCTAGATGGAATGGTGCAACCTCCTCTGAATGATCGGTAAATGGTGGATATGTTTATGGGCACTCTGACATTGTTGGCTGAAGATTTTGATACTGTGATTTGAAATGAAATCACTATGGTTGAGTTTTGTTTGAATAAAGCAGATTTGATGATTCGGAATGGAAGAGAATGTTTGTTTCGAATGGAAATATTAGAGTTCAAGGTTTCGAATGATAAGTTGTGGAGTGTGAGTCCAAAGCCTTGTTCGAAATAATCATAAGAGGATATTTGTGAAGGTCATTTTTGGAAATAACCTATGAACAAACTCGATACGAAAAGTTCCAAAACATTTGAAATTCAAACGTAAGCGGGATATTGGAAATTCAAATATACAAGCATAAGAGTGTTCGAAGACGCGTGGAGCCTAGAAGGAAGCAATGCTCTGCATGCTTCGAACGTGGCAGATTCTGATAGCAAGCATGTTATGGTCGAATAGTATAAATAGAAGTCTTATTGTTAGGATTTAGTGTGTGATATCTGTTGTACAAATTCAATAAAACATTCAAAATACCGCATGGATAGGGAAATGAATGCTCGAAAGATGTACGTATGATAACACCAGCATTTACAATTCAATGAAAACTCTTTACATTTTCTAATTTTATCTTTCACTTCCGTTTCATTTGTGTTTCAAGCAATCTTATGTTTATGCATTTAAATTAAAGCCTTTGTACTCGAAGTCATTTATTCCTTTCTGCATTTAAATACTTTTCTTATGGTCGAAACCTCTAAACATTTGGTAACTTTTACATTCACCCATTTAATCCTGCCATTTATCCAATTTCAAGTCTTTAAACTTTTCTCATGAATATTCCTAATACCATATAGAAGTTATCCTTCGAACCATTCAGTATAGTAATCGAAGCGGATTGGATATCTGTGGAACAGACACTAATTCGAAATCCTAAATACAAATGTCAGTTTTACAATTAGACTTAGCCAAACAACTATGTTCCATAGGATCAATCTAGTCGATCCTGTAAGTTACCAGAGAGATTGAATAACAGTAATTAAGTTTATTTGATAGTTTGGAAGACTAGCGGTTGTTCACAAGAAATCACTGTGAACAAATTGGCACGCCCAGTGGGACAGGTTGTTAAGAAAGTTGAAAGTAAAGATTTTTTAGGATATAATCTTGTTGCGTAAGTTCTTTTCTGGATATCGATTTCGTTGTTATATGAACCTTAGAAGTGGTAAAACAACTAATAGTAACCAACCCTTACCCAGAAGAAAACGTAGCAGTGGGATGTCTAATCCGAATAATCAACAAGGGGAACAAAATATCCCACATGGAACAGGCACCAATGCATCTGTTTCGACAGGGACGTCTAACGCGATCCCCACAAACGCACAGTCTGTTGCATCTTCTACCAGTAGTGTGGCCACAAATGGAGCAAGTGGCATGACAACCAACGGTTCGACCCTAGGAAATACAGGGACCACTGGTTATCTTGCGGGATTTGTCCCACCATTAGGGACACAAACCCATTTCGCCACCCCACTAACTAGACCACCCAGTTTCGATGGTAACAGACACATAAATCCCTCTTATGGAATGCCAACATCTTTTATGGCAGGTTTACACAATTCCACATCAAATTCGTCACCACAATTTGGATCCGGATCTGGGGCCAACCAATTTATGACAAATACCCAAGGTTCAGTGGGTCACAATACATTGCCTATCTTAACCACAAAAAATCAGATGGCCTTTAGACAATTAATGGATGATAGTAACCATAATATGATAGGAGTGTTAGCACAGACTATGCAAGAAATATTTGCCCCAATAGTACAAAATGTAACTGTGACCAACAGAGAAAACGCGGACAACATGAGTCGAATAGCAGATTTTTTCGCTCCGCCAGAAAGGCGTAGCCAGAATCAGGCGGGAGTTCGAGCGAACATACCCATCATAGAACAAATTGCTAATGACCCACCCGATAGGCCAGCCAGAGAGGGGGTTAACTTGGGGGCAAGGGCGCAAAGGTTAGAAGCCCCAGTGATTCGAGAACCACAAAGGGGAGTTATAGAACCAGGGGTCGAAAGGTTAGAAGTCCCAGAGGTTCGAGAAGAACAACCTAAAGAAGTTGTCATG